TCTTTCGAGTAAATTGTGCAAGTTTGGCTTGATTGCAACTAAATCATATTTTACGCCTTAATCACTGGTTATCTAAAAAATTGAAAGAATTAGTCCCCATGTTTGATTATAAATAAAAGCTCCACTTATTCCCTTCTAGGTGATGGTTCCCTCTCCGAGAAAAACGCGAACATCTCCTCGAAAGAAAGCTTGGGCTTCTCCAGCTAAATCTGCAATATCGTCCATTTCTTCAATTTTTGTAAGTAATTCATCACTATATCTTTTTATTATTGTCCTATTAATTGTGTGATATTGAAGAATGAAGCTGATTTCTCCCCTTTGAACTCCTCTTGGGCTGAAATTACGGCAAATGATGAGAGCTTAAATGAAAGCCTCAAAGAAAATTTATCCAAAAGTGAATCTAGAAGGAATAGAAAGGCCGTTGCGCCCAAAAAGGTCTGTTTGAATAGCAATGTTTCCTTTCGCCAATCACTAAAATCTGTTTAGGTGAACTCTAAACCTAAATTTGTTCGTTCGTTGGAGCTCACTGAAGAGATACTCACAAATAGACGTTCAGAGAGAATAAAAGATAAGGTTAGAGGACTAATTTGATATGATTATTGTCATTTTCATCTTCTTTGCTCACTGGAAATCTAAGGAAGTTTTACTCGTTTTAGGTTGAGACAATACGGGTGGAGAACAGAACTCATATTGAAATCACTTCAACAAAAACTTACGAGGTAAGAGCTAAGTTATATTTATCCAGTTAAGATTCGGTACCTACGAAGTATATGGGTCTACAATGCAGCTAATGTAAAAGATGAATGGATGTGTTCTTGAGCATTTACCTAGGACCATCGTTACCAAGCAATAAAAAAAGTCTAAAAATGCTCATTTACAAAATGTGGACATCCTTTTATAATTTGCACTTCTTTTTAAAAAAAAACCATTTCTTGATATTTCTGAAGTTTGCGAGTGTTAAGACTGTTAACTCAGAAAGCAGTTTGCTTTCTCTTTTGTTACTATGTGTCAGACAAAAAAGTGGATTGATAAAAGACATTTTGGAGAAACAAACTCGCATGGCTTAGATGTACGTGGACTCTTTTCAGTCGCGAAAGCGCCATCTAAGCAGCGCATCGTCAGCCACAATAAATGAGGACTGTGATGGATGTTCCCCTGTAAAGAGAGCCCCTCCATCCAGTGGACGGCCTGCTCGTAAAAATCTCAAAACCGACTCTCCAGTAAGGAGTCCGTTTAGAAGCAGGTGCATTATTGTTTGGATCATCATGTTCTTACCTTGAAACCATTTGACAG